TACATTTTACCTATGCTGACAGTGTACCCCCAGACCAAGACTTACTTCTCCCACTGGAAGGACCTGAGTCCCGGTTCTGACCCGGTGAGGAAGCACGGAGCAACCGTGATGGCTGCAGTTACTGATGCTGTCAGCAAAATTGATGATCTGATCGGAGCTCTTCTGAGCCTCAGTGAGCTGCACGCCTTCACTCTGAGAGTGGACCCTGCAAACTTCAAGGTACTTATTTATTAAATCATAGCAGTGAAACTTTTTAGTGTTTTGCTGTGAAGGTTTGGACCTAAATAAAACAGATCACAACTTTTGTGCATTTTCGTATTAATATAAAAATAATTTAATAGATTTAATATTTTTTTGTCTTTAGACATCCCAAGTTTTTCTTCCCAAATCACTATTCTCAAGCATATCTATTTTCTGTCTAAATTACACTTAACCCAGACTGTGCGGTTCAATCGTACAAAAAAAATGTTTTCAGAATATTACAGCAATTAAATGTGACTTTAAATGTGGCTATAATGTTTTCACAGGTTCTCTCTCACAACCTCCTTGTGGTCCTGTCCACCACATTCCCCAACGACTTCACCCCCGAGGTCCACGTGGCTATTGACAAGTTCCTGACTGCGGTGGCGCTTGCCCTGTCTGAAAAGTACCGATAAATTGCACTCTGACGGTCAACAACATGGGCTTGGATACTCCCAAACTGATTTTTAATGTAAACACAAATAAATAAATCTAATGCAGTACTGCTGTTATCTGTGTGGTGAAGTGAATTTATTTAAAGTTGATATCAACTTTCAATTTGGTGGCAAATCTAAAAAATAAAAACAATATACGTGTAATAAAGGAGGGCTGAGATGAAAGGCCAACAAAATGTGCCAGAATTTATTAAAAGTCAAGATGAGTGACCAATAAGCTTTCAGCTGGCCACTAAATAAAACTTAATGTGCAAACACAGAAAGAGTGTTCAAAGTAATAGCCTACCTTTCTAACCATTAAATGCGAGCTGCCACAGAGTAACGATTTTATTTGTTTCTACAGCTATAATGTTGTGCAATAAAAGTAACATCGCTATAACTTTATTGCAGGCTAGGAGGCTGCCGATGTTTTGCAGATCCCAGCACAAATTAATATTCTGACGATTATATTTTTTAAAATAATATCAACATTAATTCTATTCATTCTATAAAATAGCTTTTTAGATGCCTGTATATATATTGTTGCTGCAGCAATTATGCTTTAAAATAACATGGAAAATCCAATCCAAGATAAATCCAGAACACAACACAGCAGCACATGCTGTAGTTTGCTGAGAACATCTTTATTATTGTTTATGATTCCTTTATAATTGTCCAGAGCAATGCAATAACCAACAAAATTTGTAAAGCAAAG